AAAAAATATAATAATAAGCACCTAAATTTTATTTAAAAGTGAAATATTTCATATTATTATAAAAATTTTGTTTAAGTTTTAAAAATTCCGCTTAAAGTTTAAAAATCCCGCCTAATTTTAAAATTTTTGAAAATCTCACCTAAATTTAAAATTTCCCGCCCATGGCTGGCGAGCCGGCTCGTGAGCCGGCTTGAGCTCGTTAACAGTGACACGAGCTCGAGTTCGAGCTCGCTATCTATCTAACGAGCCGAGCTCGATAAGGGCTAAAACTCGACTCGTTTACACCCCTATGCAGGACGAAGAAGAATGAAAACATTTGAAGACCAAGATGTATGCGAATCATCTTTATAGCTTATGTGCTTTGAGCAATAAGGGAGAGATTTTGATTTCAGAGATGCGAGTTGTATAAGATTTGAATAATATCCTTCTAACCTTCTTACATGTTGGTTGGCATCACCAAAAAAGCGACAAATGAAGAAAGATGAAAATAAAGAATAATTTATGCCTTGAACCTTCTAAATATGTCTCGGGCTCTTGATTTGAATCTATTTGGGCTCTGATTTGGTTGAATTTGATGTCGTTGGGTTCGTCTTTTAAAGACGTTCAATTCAAATATAAGTTTGATGAAATTGGAGTTTGTATAGTCCTAGATTTAATTTTAAAAATGTTAAGCTTGAATATTCCTTGAGATTTATGTCGGATCAAGACTATTTTTTTGCGACATCAACAATAATAATTGAATTAAAATCTTAAATAATTTATCTTTTTTACAATATGTTCCATTTATGACAGTTTTTTATTGTTTTTAAAAAATATTTTTTTAGTCTAAAAAAATTTAATTTAAAAATTGTTATTTGTCTATATCAACAGCACTGCTAACTGATTTCGCGTAGCTTCTGCTGTCCCACCCGCTCACATACTATTTAAGTATTTATTCGCTCCCATGAGGTTCACCCCGCTTAATTTTCCTTCGAGCGCGAGCCAGAGCCAAAGAGAGATCAGAGAGAGAAATTAAGAGAGAGTACAGACAGGTTAGCCAGATCGAGTTAGAGATGGAGACGATGATGGCGGCGGTGGCGATCAAAGATTCCGCGGTGGTTGTCGGTCTACAGAAGCCGAATCGGATTCAGGTCTCCACCAATAAAAAGCCTGTTTACTTTTACGTAAATCTCGCCAAGGTATCGCGTTTTGATCTTCCACCGCATTTTTATCTTTGTATTTTATTAGATTTAGCCTTCTATTGATCTCTGCTATAACCGCAGTGATCGGCATTACGCATTTGGCCATCTTCGCTTATAGATCGGGCATTTTTGCTCTTCTTGGATCTTTCATTGCTCTTTTTCGATCTTGCTCCATCAACTGCTTTTCTTGCGTTTTTTATTAGATTGTCTAACGATTATGCTTTGCTAATGCGGTTTTGATCGGCTGATTTTGAATAGAGGTTTATGCAGCGCCACAACGAGATCGAACTTTCTGCCCTCGGCATGGGTATGTTCTTCCGATCTTGAAAAATGCCTTTTCAATTCGTTGAAGCATATATCGATTTCGCTTTCTTCGTCTATTTCACGTTTTTGAATGTAAAGATTCCATTTAGCTTTTCTCAATCTCGAATTTTGATTGTATTTCCTACTTTCTTGTAAACATATATAAGCATTTAGCATTCAAGATTTCTCATGCCCTGCCATGTATTATTAGACTCTTTTACCCTTGATTCTGTCATGCTCGTCTTCAATTTTCAGCCATCGGCACAGTCGTCACTGTTGCCGAGATACTCAAGAACAACGGCCTGGCTACTGAGAAGAGTAATTAAATTAGGCCTCATCCACTACCATTCGGTCCATTCCCTCATTAAGCTCTTAAAAAAAGAAATAAAATAAAATTTCGCATTTTCTTTTGAAACAGAAATCATGACCTCTACTGTTGGCACCAAGGACGAAGCCAACGGCCGTCTTGTTCGCAAAGCCAAGGTCTGCTTTGTGCATAGATAATCTTTTAATCGGTTATTACTAGTTATAGTTACACCTACAAAGACTAAAAATATATAAATATGTTGCTGTGCCGTAGATTGAGATCTTGCTGAGCAAGACGCAGAATTCGAGTGATCTTATCACGGCTGCAAGAACAGAGCGCAGCGCCAACAGCAATGCGGCGACCGCCAAGGCCGCTAATAAGGCCGGTGAGGAAGCAAGGGATGAGGACGGAAGCAGCGAGCAGGAAGCGGAGGAGATCAGCGAATGATCTTTTGTCCAGAACGGGCATGTTCCAGTGGAAAAAGAACTTCTTTGTCGTCAGTTCTTTGACATTTCATTAGCAAATAGCAACACAGTTGTGCTCATTTGTTTTTTTCTCTTTTGTTTCAGCTGGATCCAGCTCTATCACTTCTACCCTTGAAATTGTTTTACTTCTGCATAAGGCAGTGGTTTTCCTCTACTTTTAATACAATCTTCCTCTATTTCTGTTGAAAATGATGAGGCTTAGCCCAATTCCATTAAGAGAAATCAATAACTAAGTGAGATAGAATAATAGATTTGAAATAACATTTGATTTTCCCATCAAGAATAATAGAGGAAGGGACATCATTGATACAAGCACCAATCCAATCAATGAATGGTTGGGGCTAAAACGGTAAAACCCTTTTCGAGCTATCATATAAAGAATGGAGGATTTGTTGCCCAAGTCAACTGATTTCCTTAGCTCAAGCTTTATACAAAAGCTCGTAATTGGAGAGAGAGTTGAAGTTATGGGTGATTTCATGCGCCAGTGCAATATTATCCAAAACGCCCCTATGCTATGAGAGATTATTCTGTGCGGATGGTGAACGCAATTCATCATCCGGAGACCAACCAGAATGTGTCACGTCAGCAGTACCGAGCCTAATACCGAGCAATACTGAGCTGGGTACCGAGCAGGAGATGACGTGTTACATTCTGATTCGTCATCGGACGGTGTTCAATGTTTGCATAGAATAATTTCATTATGCTACATAAGGGTGGATTGACCATGGTTGATGACATATGGTAGGAACAACTTAATTTTGTTGGTAAAGACCTTGGTAACAACCTTGTAAAATGTATTTTCAATAGAGATTGATATATAACCAACCAAGGAATTGGAATGCTTGACCTTAGGGATCAAGGTAATAAGATTTTTCTTGATCATATAAGGCCATTTAGAGGTATTGAATTGAGTTTTTTTAAGATTAAAGTTAACATCATAGCTTGAGAGGACGATATCTATTAATTATATAAAAATTTTGAGCTACAATGAAAGACAAAGGTAGTTTTTTTATATTTATGAGGGAAAAAATTAAAGTCTTAAAAACACTCTCTATAAAGTGCACCAAAATGAGTTTTGAAGACAAACTAGCAGGCAACAGCATCAAGATCCAAAGGACAATGGATGATAACCTGCAACTCAGGGGAAATGTGAAAGTAGTTGTGGATACAAAATGAGTTCGGGAAATGATTTTTTAATGTAGAAGTTAATGATGTATTAAACATTTTGAGTTATAAGATATTAGCATTATGTCTTTAGATATATTTTGGACTTATGATGTAGTTATGATTAATTTCAATTTAATATTTAGATAGTTGCTATTTTAATTTTGAATGTGATTATTTATTTTATGATTTTTACTTTGATGGGTTTCAAACTATAGAAAATATTAAAATTGTTCAAGAAATTAAATTTATTAGGTCAAAATGTTGAGATAATGTTAAATTTTCATTTCATAATATAATGCATTTATTTTATACTCATACAAATAAAAATAATAATTCTCTTATATTTATTTTATAGATAACCAAACAATTAGGAGTATCCAAAATAGAACTACAATTACCTTCATTTGTATTCCAAATACAATTAAATTCTAAATACAAACAGCTGAACAGCTCTATTGGCTAAGTTAAAAAACTCTTAAAATTAACTAAGGCTTCATTTGGAATAGCTTTCTTACAGCTTCTTAAATCAGCTTTTCAATATATGAATTTTAATTTTATACTGAAAAATTATTTTAAGAAATAAAAAGAAAGCTATCCCAAACGAAGCCTGAATGAGGAATTCCCAAAAGCTTAAGATTAGGCCCAAAAAGGTAAATCACCAGGAGCCAAAGGTATAAGCTTTGGATCTTCATAGTACCATTACGGCTTCATTTGGAACATCATTAGACTACAATTTTTATCTGCTTTCAAAAATTTTGTGCTAAAAATATCTTTATAAAGTAAAGCTATCACAAATGAAGCCAAAGGGTTTTGAGTGGATGGCTGCTAATTTTTTTTATAAAGTTGGTTATAAAAGTGATATATATAAATAAATAGATTTTATTTGGGAAATTAGGGGCTTAGCCCATTCCATTAAATAAGGATGTTATGAGTGTAAAAGAAAAAGAAAATACAAATATAAGAAAGAAAAATTAAAGCAAAGAGGCTAGAGGAGCAACCACCAAAAAAAGGGCAAATTATTACGTCAGGTGTCCGGATTCGTTCGGACACCAATTCAGGCGCACCACGTCACCAAAATACACCGGGACCCAGTGTATTCGGGTGACGCGGCGTGTCTGGATTGGGTGTCCGGAGGTATGATGACCGGACGTAATAATTCGCCCCAAAAAAGAGCCATACTAAGCCCAAAAGGATCCAAGGATGAAGATCCCAACAACGACCTAAATCCAGGAAATACACAAGTACCTGGTCCAAAAAAGAATGGCAAAAGTCATACAACCAGCACTCATGTAATGAAAAAATAGTGACGGCAGTCGAAAATGGGAAAACAATCCCATGTTTACCAAGAAGTTCATCCAAGGGAAAGTCTGAATCAGAGTGATGGTCGTCATTGTCCAAGGCAATTAAAGAATCCTACTTGACCAAAAAACAAAAGCACAATGAACCATCATAGCTTACAAACTCCGAAAAGGCTACTTTCACAAAGGCATAAAGATGTCTAGGCCACTAAAATGCACGGGGGGAAACCCAACAGAAAATGATAGAAAGCCTGAAGCCTTCAGCACTAACCAACACATAGCATAAATGCAAACCAAACCAAACCAAATACATGAACATTTAAAATCCCGTGTTTGTGTTTTCCCAGCTTTTCCAATTGGAAATTTTCATCCTTGCTTCCTTTCTAATTTTTAGCACAATGGTAGAAACAATACCAAAAGTCCCACCAAACCTGCTATCATTCCTCTTCCTCAAAATATGATAAACATAGTAGCAAGAAAAAGGAAATAGAGATTCTTAATGCCCGCATGGGAACAAGCCAGATCTTCAACAACCTTAAATATTTGGAAGTAAATTCAGCTTGTGTAAGAAGAAATTAACAGTAGGCAACAGGGAAATCAAAACAACAAATGGATACTTGCATTCAAAGAAAAGATGTGAGGAAGACTCCAGGATATTATGGCAAAAAACATAAGAAGAAGGAATATGTATGTTGCATCTATCTAAAGCATCAGTCATTTTAGGCCCTTCATGTATGCCCATCCAAATATAAGAAGAAAATCTTATAGCATAGTATTTGTGCCAAATGAAACTATCCTAGTCACACAAATTTTTATCCCTATGAACTCAAGAATGAAAGAGGAAAAGGAGCCAGTAACCGCATTCTCCCAAAGCAAACAGCTAGAGGATTAGGGTTGAATAGGGTTGGACTCAATAAATCCCCGAGTAAAGCAATCCCATAAATAGGGAAAGGTCCATTTCTGATCCACAATCAGACAGCTAAGAGTAGCATTTTAAGGTATATTGAGCAAGGCAATGGGGATTCAATTGATGCTCGATTATACATTTTCCTTGACACAAATGATCCCAATGTAGAGAAATATAAATGTTTACATTAATAGAGAAAGAAAAGATAGCCTTGGAAAGCACAACTGAGGAATAAATGCATTTTTAGATAAGAGAGAAGTGTTGAGAGGGAGGTTTCCACTGTGAAGAGTATCTAGAAATGAACCACTTGAGGGATGTCGAGCTCCGCCCCCCCCAGCTCTAAAT